TGAACGAACATGCACCGGTGGTGGTTGTGGCGTTCTGTTTCCCACAACATGGTGTCCTGTCTTCCTAGATCAGCCCCAAACCTGGCCCTCAGCACACCTATCCTTAAAATAAGGGCTTTTCTCAAACGTCTTGGCTGTCCATTCACACATGTCAGTGGGGAACTCTGGGAAGCTCCCTGCAAGGCTCTGCTTGTGGGCAGGCTCTGTCCACTATGAGCTTCCCTTAGAGGATCTGGTGGGAACTAGACTCCCAATTGTCAGTGTCTTAATCTTGTCTCTTGGTCAGTCTCTCCAGGGGAAAACCCTCCAGTCTCCCTCCTGTTTTACAGTTACCACTTTTTTGTTTTTTTTTTAAGAGTTTATTTATTTATTCATGAGAGACAGAGGAGGAGAGAGAGAGAGAAGCAGAGGGAGAAGCAGGCTCCCAAGGAGCAGGGAGCCCGATGTGGGACTCGATCCCAGGACCCTGGGATCATGACCTGAGCCGAAGGCAGACGCTTAACCATCTGAGCCACCCAGGCGCCCTCCAGTCTCCCTCCTGAGGAGCCCAAGCCTGGCTGGCTGCCAGCACCCTGGACGCGGGAGAGGAAAGGGCTTGACCTTTGAAGGGTGGGACCGGGGAGAGCGAGGCCACGCCCCTCAGGCTACCAACCAGACCCAGTTGAGGTGTGGGTGCTATACCGAAAACAAGGGATTCAATAAATACCTACCTCCAGGATGGTGACACCCTCCCCCTAGGCACGTGCTTTTTCCTAGAACAGGAGACTGCAAACTTTTTTTTGGAAAGGGCCAGATGGTAAATATTTTAGGCTTTTCGGGCCACATGGTTGATGTCACAACTACTCAACTCTGTCACCGTAGCGCAGAAACCACCACAGACACTATGTAAATGAAAGAGCATGGCCGCATTCCAGAATCACTTTATTTATGGACACTGAAATTTGAATTTAATATAATTTTCACATGTCACAATTCTTTTTATTTTTCCAACAATTTTTTTTTAAAGATTTTTTTATTTATTTGACACACACAGAGAGAGAGAGAGACACAGCGAGAGAGGGAACACAAGCAGGGGCAGTGGGAGAGGGAGAAGCAGGCTTCCCGCCGAGCAGGGAGCCCGATGCGGGGCTCGATCCCAGGACCCTGGGATCATGACCTGCGCCTAAGGCAGACGCTTAACCGACAGAACCCCCCAAGCACCCCTTTTTTCAATAATTTAAAAACATAAAATTCTTAGATTTCTGACTACACAAATAAGTGGCAAAAAAATTTGGCCCAGCGGCAGGAGCTTATGGATCTCCTTCCTGGAATATCATCGTTGAGAGATTATCGTCAAAATCCTCTGAACCTGGGGGCGCCTGGGGGGCTCAGTCGGTTAAGCGTCTGACTCTTGGTTTTGGCTCAGGTCATCATCTCGGGGTCGTGAGATCGAGACCCCCCCCCCCCTCGGACTCTGCACCGCGCGGGGGCTGCTTTGGGATTCTCTCTCCCCCCCACTTTTGTTCCCTTTCTCTCAAAAAAATACATAAGTGTCTTAAAAAAAAAAAAAAATCCTCGGAAGCTGTCTTCCTCTTCCCCTTAGCAGAGCCTCCCAGCGCTCATTTTTGTCTGTAGGTATAAGGGTTACAGGTTTTCTCCCTCCCCCACGCAGCCCAAGATGGGCCATGGAAATGTAGACGTTTATGAATTGCCTTGGGATGGAAGCCGTGGTAACAGGGCCTCCAAGACTTGCTGCCAAGTTCTGCCCGGGGTGGAACAAGTTGTTGATTGTTCTCTTTCCCTGGATTTTAACCAAGGTGATAAATGAGGGCCGGAGGAGGAGATCTCTGGGAAAGGTGGGGCTCGCAGCCAAAGCCCTGACTCCCAGGCCGTCTGAGTCAGCGCCTCGGTTTCCAGCCATAAAGACTGTTCTAAGTAGGCCGGGACCTGTCTAGTCTCGACTTTCACATGAGGGAAAGAAGTCCCACCTTTCGTAGTTGCAGGGGCAGGATAGGTGTTTGGCAGAGAGAAGAGCTCCTTCTGCCGCTAGGTGTGTATTTCCGTGCGAGTCCGTTCTGCTTGCCCAGTCTCACTTTCTTTATCTCTAAAGTGGGGATAGGCACTCCGACCTCATTGGGTAGTGGTGTGGGTTAATAAATTGACATACCTAAAGTCCCTGTCACATCGAGGGGGCTCAACGAATGGCAGAGAGTATGATTCTAATTTATCCAGACAAGGAAACAGAGCTCATTAAGGGGGTGGAGGCAGGAACATAATTTGTTTTCTCAACCCTTCAACTAATTTTCTTCTATCCTGAGCTGCTTGGAGAGGAGAGCTTAGTCCTTTTTTTTGTTTTTAAGATTTTATTTATTTGACACAGAGAGAGAGAGCACAAGCAGGGGGAGCAGCAGAGGGAGATGGAGAAGCAGGCTCCCCGCTGAGCAGGGAGCCTGACTGCAGGACCCTGGGATCATGACCTGAGCAGAAGGCAGACGATTCGACTGAGCTCCCCAGGTGCTCTGGGCTTAGTCCTTTTTTTTAACCACACCTGAAATGCTATGGGAGGGAAGGTGTTGGGACTGCAGGATATCGGCCTGTTCCCTCCCTTTCTCTCAGCCCCACCCCCCTTCAGGTGACAGACACTCTCCTCTGGTGTTTAGACACAGCAAAGCTGGTCCCCCCTCCACATCATATCGTACGTGGGTGTTACAGGGCACCACCCCTTGGCCACCTCCCCTTGCCACCCCCAGCACCCCTGTCTCCCCTCACCCCCTCCCAGATGCAGGCTGCTTTCCTCTGGGCTGGGCCACTCCGCTGAACAGTTGCAAAGATTCTTTGTAATGCGTTTGCCTGGGGAGGAGGGAGAGCAGGGCCTGGCTGTCCTCAAACCACAGAGAAAGAGCCAAGACAGATGACCCTGTGGCTTGGGGGCCCGGATTGAAGACATAACCCAAGTGCAGAGCCCCTGGCTCAGCTTCCTTGTTTCTGGGCATGGAGGCGCCTCTTTACCCAGGGAAGACTGTTTACTCAGCTCGGCTGAGTGAGAGGTGTTTACACAGGGAGGGAGGTAGCCATCTGGCCGTTCTCTGGCGGAGCGGGGAACATTTGCAGGTCAGGCACCATCTCTGTTCCAGGGCCTCTGGGGAGGCAGCCCCCTGACAACAGGCTTTCTGAGATGCGTGTCTCTTCTTTGAGAGTGAATGTGGACAATTTGGAAAAAAAAATTGTAAAAATGGTACTTTTGTTTGTTTGTTTGTTTTGTTTTCCTCTAATCCAGACCCACACCAGATAAATTGTCCAGGATCTTTCCTACAGTTGTATTTTGCAAGGCTGGGAGAAAGGCAGTTTTCAGCACTTAAAGAATGGTGATGTTTGGGGCGCCTGGGTGGCTCAGATGGTTAAGCGTCTGCCTTCAGCTCAGGTCATGATCCCAGGGTCCTGGGATCGAGTCCCACATCAGGCTCCCTGCTCCTTGGGAGCCTGCTTCTCCCTCTGCCTCTCTTTCTCTCTCTCTCTGTCTCTCATGAATAAATAAATAAAATCTTTAAAAAAAAAAAAAAGAATGGTGATGTTTGCCACCTGTGAGGTACTTTGTGGTTTAAAAGCTTCGCTACGGGTGCCTGGCTTGGCTCAGTCTGTAGAGCGTGCAACTCCTAATCTTGGGGTCGAGAGTTTGAGCCCCATGTTGGGTGTAGAGATGACTTGAAAAAAATGAGTTGAAAAAATAATTTATAAAAGACGGTCATATCCACCATTCCACGTGATCCTCAAGACAGCAGAGTGGGTAGCTGTGGCCAAAATCATCCATATTTTACAAATAAGGAGTGGACACTTGGAGAGGTCACGTTGCTTGCCCAAAACCACACACCCAGCAAGAGGCAGAGGCCAAGTGACTACAGTTTGCTTGCTCTTTTTTTCACAGAGTCCCCCTGCTTCCCCACTTAGCTGTAAATCGAGATGTAAAGAGATCTTGTTTCAACACGGAACTGCCTCCCGGCAGGTGGCTCTGGGAGAGAGCACTGCATCTCGGGGACATGGCATGGCGGAAGCCATGGCGATGAGCCTCAAGGGCACAATGCAAGGACCTTGGGTCTGTCCCAGGGTACCCCAATGGGGCATACCCTGGGCGCCAGATGAATGGAAAGCCTGGGAACCAACTGCGTGAAACCGTGTGTAACATACACACCGTACTGCTCTACCAGAGAAATCAGGGAGGTGAGGATGCAAGTTACAGAATCCCTGAAACTTGCCTCCACCTTCCTTCCCCCATCTCCTCTTGGGCTGGGCCTCCCTGCATTCAAACCCACGTGTGTCTACCTGAAGCCACTACCTGGATTCCACCTACCATCCTCGCTACTTCTTCCCAGCCCTTTATCCTCCCTTTGATAACCCCAGACACCAAACCACCCAAGTGGGAGTCATGCCAGCCTCTTCCCTTTCTCTCTTCATCTCTGTCCCTTAAGTCCAGCTCAGGCCAAATTGCTGTGACCTGTTTGACTGATTAATACTCCTCAGCTTGGCCCCCCGCCACCCTTAGCCCAGCCCCTGCACCTGACTCGGCCACCAGCCTCGCCTCCTGGTCTCTTCTTTCCTGCCACTGTCATATCCTGGCCCTCTCTCTTCTTGCCAATCTATCCATCAGTGGCCACGTTTCTAGAACGACTGATGCGTTCCTGAGTTTTGCATCTTGCAAAGCACGTTTGCATACAGACACACAGACATACGTTCACACGGAGTCCCGTTCTGAAGTTAGCTCCTCCTCCCCAACGGATCTCCGTTCATCTCCTTCCTAATCTACCAAACCTGGTCGGTTTTCTTTTTATCTTTGCGTTCAGTGCATCTAACTTGGCCTGCCATCATTCCTCCAACCAACCTGCCTTTCATTACTTTCTCCATAAAATGCTATTTATAAGCTTTCAAGTATTCTTCCTAATGCAAAGTCCTCACTTCCCTTCCTCCAAAAATTCTAATTAGTCCTCTCCCCTCTCCTGTGTCCTTCCTTATTCTTTCTTGACATTCAGTGCCTGTCATCGATTGTTAAAATCAGACTGTGATTCCCGGAACCGGAAGCTTTAGGGATCATGTGGCCACGAATGGCAGTTTACTCCATGGCCAGCCACCCCGTGCTGCCTGGACGTGTCTGTACATCCACAGTGTGCTTCTTTACACTGCAAGCTCCTGGAACGGTGAGGATCCTCTTTCTTTGCAGACTTCTCCGAAGTTTAGAAGAAGCTCTGGGGTTAGTTCAGCAGCTCTCCAGACTCTGGCCCAACTCTGAGATGCATCCCCATGCCATGAATCTCTCTCCTCTGCCATTTGCCCTATACCAAAGGCAATTTGGGGGAGGTCCTGTCATTTTTTTAAAAGATTATTTATTTATTTGAGAGAAAGAGATACATGAGTGGGGGGGGCAGAGGGAGAAGCAGGCTCCCCACTGAGCAGGGAGCCTGATGCAGGACTCGATCCCAGGACCCTGGGATCATGACCTGAGCCGAAGGCAGATGCTTAACCGACTGAGCCACCTGGGCAGCCCTGGGGGAGGCACTGTTATAAATGACTCTCAGTTTACCTGTGACTGATACTCTGATGATCAGAGAAGCCTTAGTATTATGTCCTCAGGTTGAGTCCCAGAATTTCAAAGAGGGTCATGCAAAATTTGCATCCGACTTGGGCAAATGAAAGGCCAGACCCGGGAACCCAGCCAAGTGGTATCACTGTCTTCTTTTACTTTGGTTCTTAAAGGGTGAGGAAGGCCACCCTGTCCCATTTGGCTGCCTGCCCGAACCACTGGAGTTGTAGCAAGCTCTCCTATATCCCTGCCACCTCTGTGTACCATAGACAGAGGCTGCCTGTCTCTGGCATACAGGTAGAAAGAGCTGGTAGATGGGCCTACACAGGCAGCCTAAGCCCAAGGCTCATTCAACAGTCCAGAGCCCTAAACTCATCTCGTGTCCCATGTGAGTCCAAAACTATAATCATGGTAACAGTGGTGTTACTAGCCACATAGTTCACAGTGTGGCAGGCACTCTGCCAATGGCTTGACATGAATCAGTTCAACTGGAGCCTCATCACAGCCTGATGGGGTAGATGCTGTTATAATCCCAGTTCTGCAGAGAAACTGAGGCTCCAAGAGGTTACGTAACTAGGCTAAGAGAACATAGTAGAGATAAAATTAGAACCAAGGCCAGTGTGAACCCTACAGTGACCTTCTGCTGGGACCCCCTGGTCAGCTGGGTCCCCTTACATCCTTCCCTGCTATGAATGGGCCCGTCAACGAGGGGGCAGCTCACCTGCAAGAGAATCGCCAGTTGTCCCAGCTGAGCAGAACCAAGCTGGACTTGACTTCTTCCTCCCTCTGGGTCACCTTGTTGCAGTCCCACTACTTTTTTAAGCATAAGGATAAGAATCCCTATGTTTAAAATTTAAAACTGGGCGCCTGGGTGGCTCAGTTGGTTAGGCGACTGCCTTCGGCTCGGGTCATGATCCTGGAGTCCCGGGATCGAGTCCCGCATCGGGCTCCCTGCTCGGCAGGGAGTCTGCTTCTCCCTCTGACCCTCTTCCCTCTCATGCTCTCTCTCTCTCTCTCATTCTCTCTCTCAAATAAATAAATAAATAAAATCTTTTAAAAAAATAAAATAAAATAAAATTTAAAACTAACTCCAAGAGATACCTGCTCCCCCATGTTCATTACAGCATTATTTGCAATTACCAAGACATTGAAATAACCTAATTTATTTATGTATATATAATATACATTTATATATATATTTATGTATATTTATGTATACATTACTTTTATTTATATATTATATATGTGTATATATATATATATTTATAAATACAGATAAATATACTCACACAATGGAATACTATTCAGCCATAAAAAAATGAAATCTTGCCATTTGGGACAATATGGATGAACCTTGAGGGCATTATGCTAAGTGAAATAAGTCAGACAGAGAAAGACAAATAGCATATGTATGATCCCACTTATGTGTGGAATCTAGGGGGGAAAAAGTTCATAAATCCAGAGAACAGATTGGTGGTCGCCAGAGGAGGGTGAGGTAGGAGGTTGATAAGTCATGGGGGGAGTGTGTCTGGGTGGTTCAGTCGTTGAGCAACTGACTCTTGATGTTGGCTCAGGTCATGATCTCAGGGTCATGGGATTGATGTCAGGATCCACATTCAGCATAGAGTCTATTTGGGATTCTCTCTCTCTCTGCCCCTCCCCCCAATTGCACACACACTCTCTCTCTCTCACATAAATAAATTAATTAAAAAATAAATAAGTAATGGGGACATTATGTGCAGCCAAGAGAGTCGATCTTAAAAGTTCTCATCACAAGAAAAAAATTTTGGAACTATGGTGACAGATGTTAGCTGGACTTATTGGTGTGATCATTTTGCAATATATCCCTATATCGAATCATTATGTTGCACACCTGAAACTAATATAATGTTATATGTCAATTATATCTCAATTTTATTTAAGGACGGGGTGCCTGGCCAGCCCAGTTGGGAGAGCATGCGACTCTCGGTCTCTGGGTTGTAAGTTTGAGCCCCACCTTGGGTGTAGAGATTACTTAAAAATAAAATCTAAAAAAAAAAAAAATGAGGTCACTGGGTGGGCCCTAATGCAATAGATCTGGGGTCCTTAGAAGAAGAGATTAGGACACACACACACACAGAGGGAGGGCCACGTGAAGGCACACGGACAGGAAAGAGAAGACAGCCATTTACAAGCCAAGGAAAGAGGCTTCAGAATGAACCAGCCCTGCTGACACCTTGAGTTTGGACTTCTAGCCTCCAGACCTAAGACAATGCATATCCGTTGCTGAAGCTCTTCAGTTCGTGGTACCTTGTTATGGCAGCCCTAGCCGACTAACACAGTCTCCCTCTGGGGCCCCCAGTTCAACCTAAGCCGACCTTGCTCTTCTTTTTTTTTTTTTTTTTTAAGATTTTATTTATTTATTTGATAGAGAGAGACACAGCAAGAGAGGGAACACAAGCAGAGGGAGAGGGACAAGCAGGCTTCCCGCGGAGCAGGGAGCCCAATGCAGGGCTCGATCCCAGGACCCTAGGATCATGACCTGAGCCAAAGGCAGATGCTTAACGACTGAGCCACCCAGGCGCCCCCAACTTTGCTCTTTTTGCAGAACCCTAGAGGAGAAGCTTCCAGTGCTCCTTCCCTGTGTTGCTAATCTCCTTCTGCCTGCACTCTGGCTTGTCCAGGTGCCCAGAAAGCAAAGCCCTGTGCCCAGGTGGCCTGGTCGTTTTCTGTGCTGCTGTCCATGGAGCCCAAGATTTGTTCAACTGCTATTGAACCACACTCTTGGCTCACTCGGAGTTTACAGCCCATGAGGAGCCCCGGGGCCTTGCTCACTGCTATTGCTGTCAAAAAGGCCACATCTTCCACATCCAGTCCTTTCCTATTTATTTTTTCCAGATTGATGTTCCATCTTGGATGGTGGCCACAAGGATGTGTTGTGGACTTTTCCATCTGTATGCAGAACATTTGGCCCTATTTCATTTTAACTCACCCATTCCTTGTTTGGGGCGTGGGTATAGGGACAAAGGTTGCTTTTCCTCCCTCGATGTACAAGTTAGCACTGTTAGCTTAGGGTCACACACAAATCTAACTTTCTGTCACCAACATTCCCATATATAACATTGATAAAACAGGAAACAGTTTGCATAAAGCACATATAAAAGGATCCTATTGAACAGGAAATGGGAGAGAACCCAGTAGTAGCTGGCTCTGGAGAGTGCATTCAAAGTTGCTGTGAATTTATTAATATGATTTGGGTCTGGTAATTCAACCAACTAAAAAGTCCATCCAACTCTGCCCTTACCTGCCTTCCATCCAATTAGCAAGCACTCGTTGAGGGCTTATTCCCCCCCTCCAGAATAAGATCCATAAACACACTATCTTCTCTATAAAGCTGTATCTCCAGGTATTTGTCTTTTGTTTTGTTTTGTTTTTTGTTTGTTTTAATTCAATTAATTAGCATATAATGTATTACCAGTTTCAGAGGTACAGGTCTGTGATTCATCAGTTGCATGTAACACCCAGTGTTCATTACATCAAGTGCCCTGCTTAACGTCCATCACCCAGGTACCCCATCCCTCCACCCCCATCCCCTCCAGCAACCCTCAGTTTGTTTCCTATGATTAAGAGTCTCTTATGGTTTGTCTCCTGGTATTTGTCCTTTGTACTCTGCTTGAGCTTCTTCATTCTAGTGTTCCAAGATAATGATCAAGCCTGTTTTACTCCAGCCGCGCCATCTATAATGTTTCAGATTCGTAAGTCTTAAATATATACCCTCCTAGACTTCACTTCTGGCCATATGGCAGCCAAGATGAGCAGAGAAACCCTCCCTATATAGCACACTGAAAAGTGATGGGTTCCATGCAAAAAGCATCTTCTACTTACTCATGAATGAGCTGGTGAGAAAGTAAGGGAATTCCTTGGAGGCCAGAAATGACAAGAAAGCAGTAATCCAGAAGGATAAACACATCCCCAGAGAGACTTTTCCCTGGAGTGTCCACGCATCTCTGGTGCCCAGAATATGGGTTTTAACAGGCCACATGTGAGGGAGATAGGAGATAAAGCCAGGGACTGAGCCCTCTGCCTAAAGCTAGGAACCTCAAAGGACAACACCCTGAAAGGTGAATGAGAGTAAAATCCACACCAAAGAAGACCATGGGAATATGTGGCTATTTGGGTCTTGGAAAATTCCTCAGGGTCCTGGGATTAAGCCCCATGTCAGGCTTCATGCTCAGCGGGGAGTCAGCTTGTCCCTCTCCCTCTCCCTCTGCCCCTCCCCCCTGCTCGTGCGCTCTCTCTCTCTCTCTCTCTCTCAAATAAATAAAATCTTTTTAAAAAAGAATTTATTTTTGAGTAATCTACACACCCAACACGGGACTCGAACTCACAACCCTGAGATCCAGAGTCACACTCTCCACCAATGAGCCAGCTAGGCATTCCACTAGCTACATTTAGTTTATAGTGACCCCAACACATTCATGTCTCTGGGTACAAGACTGAATCAAACAGATTCTCACTATAAACCCAGCACCTACCTGGCTCCCTCAGGGAGAACCCTGAGGAGCTCACAACGGGAAAACACTAGACACCTGAGAAAACACCCCCAAGAACCCTAGTGCCTGGTGTCAGTCAGCAGCACGTTCAGGGAATGCATCCCTTCAGTATTAACCCCACCCGTTTTCAGAGCGCAGAAGTCAACCTTGGGAGCCCACAGTTTCTGGAGTGCCCTTCAGAAACTTTTATTTGTTTGAGGCACCCCGCCAGGCCTAAAGTACAGTATTTCTTTGTGATAGTAAGTCATTGCATTTAGTGATACTTTGAGTTCTTTCGAAACTCTTGTGTGCATGTCACCTGATCTCATTAGCAGAGCTTGTTCGCCAATAGGTGGAGAACCTTGGGGTCACCAGCACGATTTCATGTAGACCCTCTGACTATTTGTGGGGCCAGCAATCTCATTTCTCAGAATCTATCCTTAGGAGATAATCGGAGATGTCTTTAATGATCATGTGCAAAGATGTTTTGCTTTTCCCGTAGTGCCACCACCAAAGTATCTTCTTTTGTTATTGTCTCTTTTCCCCCATCCTGACGTCAGTGCCATTATTTCTTCTAGTCAAGATTATGATAAAAATAACAATAGTTGTGATAAGTAACGTGCACTGAGTGTTCACTGTGTGCCAAGTGCTTTGCTATGCACTTTTTACACATTCATTTAATTCCCAGAGAGACGTTGTGAGGTTAGTGTCACCATTATCAGCTACCAGTTATTATCAATAATTATCAAATATTATAATTATCAGTTATTAACTATCATCGTTTTACAGATGAAAAAACTGAAAGCTTAGAGAGAGAGGTCATTAAAAAGCCCCAAACATGGGGCAGCTGGGTGGCTCAATCAGTTGAGCCACATCAGGATGATGTGATCAAGCCCCATGTTGGGCTCCCCTCTCAGCGGGGAGTCGGCTTGAGATTCTCTCTCTCCCTCTGCTCCTCCCTCTGCTCGAGCTCTCTTTCTCTCTCACTCTTTCTTTTGCTTGCTCTCTAAAAATCAATCAATCAGGGCGCCTGGGTGGCTCAGTTGGTGAAGCGACTGCCTTCGGCTCAGGTCATGATCCTGGAGTCCCAGGATCGAGTCCCGCATCGGGCTCCCTGCTCGGCGGTGAGTCTGCTTCTCCCTCTCCCACTCCCCCTGCTTGTGTTCCCTCTCTCACTGTGTCTCCCTCTGTCAAATGAATAAATAAAATCTTTAAAAAAAAAAAAAAAGAGGACACAAGACCCAAGACAGCCCAATCTCCTTTGCATCCTTTATGTCTCAATTCTGTGCAGTTTCTGGAAAATGTTTTCCGTATCTTTGGGGAAAGAGGAAGGTTTTTGTCTTATTCACCAAACTGTCTCCACCCTGCCCCTCTTCACACACACCTGACATGACAGGTGGTGCTTCTGGAAGGTTTCTCTCAGTGAAATCTGCATTCCCACAGCCCAAACCAATATTTGAGTAGCGTTTATCAGAAGCACCTGTGGGCATTTGGAGGTGGGTGGGGGTGGGGCGGATTGGACATACATAAAGAGTAGTCAACGCTCAATGGAATAAAAACTCCAAGAGATTATTAGGATCCTAGAAGAAAGGGGATGTGAGGAAGGTTCTAGACAAAGCAGAGGACTTCATGTGGGGATAAGCACTGGAGAGCTGGCCCGGGATAAATTCCTGATGGCTGAGATGGCTGAAAATGTTAAATATTCACCTTGAGTTGATTCCAGTCTGCACAGTTAGAATCTCCCTCATTTATTCAGAAACTGAGGGATTAAATTTATTGTGCACAACGATTTTCTGTGTCATGGACTTTTTTCATAGGTCTGGAAGCTGAAGAAGAGGCTATTTCAAGCCAGGGAGCCCAGACAACACAGTGGCAGGCAGTGGCACTTCGGGGCAGAAGGAAAAGTGGCAACACCGCTGATCTCAGAGCAGGCTTGAGACCCTGGAGCAGCCCCTGGAAATAGAGGAATTCTGAAACAATTAATGGTACAGCTGCTCGATAGAATACTACATAGCTATTAAAATGACAATTATCCATTCTGTGAAGCAAAATTGAATGTTAATGATATGATATTAAGTGGTTTTTTTTAAGATTTTATTTATTTATTTGACAGAGAGAGACACAGCGAGAGCAGGAACACAAGCAGGGGGAGTGGGAGAGGGAGAAGCAGGCTCCCCGCGGAGCAAGGAGCCCGATGTGGGACTGGATCCCAGGACCCTGGGACCATGACCTGAGCCGAAGGCAGATGCCTAACGACTGAGCCACCTAGGCGCCCTTAAGTGTTTTTAAATAGCACACATGAGGAGTGCCTGGCTGGCTCAGTCGGTAGAGTGTGTGACTCTTGATCTTGTGGTTGTGAGTTCAAGCCCCACGTTGGGCATGGAGATTACTTGATAAAAAATATTTTATTTTTTTATCACAGAAAAGCCAATTAATTATTACTAAGGTTAGCTTTTGTGGAGGACTATAGGTCACAGATTAGCAGTCTCATCAATAATGTGACCATTACCTGTAATCAAAATTTTCAAATATAAAATTATACACATATATGTAATGTAATACAAATATTTTTTCTATCCTTTAATTTCCAAAGCATGCTCATTCACCTCTGACTGACTGATTATACATGAATATCCTTTTTTTTTAAAGATTTTATTTATTTATTTGAGAGAGAGAGAATGAGAGATAGCATGAGAGGGGGGAGGGTCAGAGGGAGAAGCAGACTCCCTCCTGAGCAGGGAGCCTAATGCAGGACTGGATCCCAGGACCCTGGGATCATGACCTGAGCTGAAGGCAGACGCTTAACTGACTGAGCCCAGGCACCCCTGACATGAAAGATTGTAATTGCTCTGCTGCAGTTTTCTCTTCTTTAGTCAGTGGTGACAGCTCCAGGTCTGTTTGCTTTTGTCGTTCCTGTATCATGCTCACCGTCTTATTGACAGTAGCACAAATGCAGTTCTTAGTCTCTTTCTGCTCTGCAGCAATTGGTTTAAAGCAGGCATGCAAAGTTTGATACCGAGACTTTATTTCCGACAATTCCTTTAAGAGCGTAACTGGATTTTTCTTGCTTGCTGCATCAGGATGATTAGTCTTGATTTCATATTCCAGTCGTCCACTCCAGCTTATCGACCTCCGCTTCCACATTGGATAGTTGACCAAGAAAAAAGATTAAAAAAAAAAAACAAACAGTGCACATGATGTCACATCAATCAGATTGGGCTTTTCCAGGTGGCAAGAAACAAAGTTAGGCTCTTTTGTTGACAAGGGATTTATTGAATGTAAGGACGCGTGGGGAGATAGGGCCACAGGATGCACTGACATCACAGAACGTTATTCGGGGTCTGAAGGTGACTCAGGTTATCACCTTATTCTGCTATGGGCCCTCACTACTAGCTGGCTCCCGTCTGTGAGCTCTGCCATGTGGTGACCAAGCCCCTCATTGCCTTTGTTTCCAAAGTTCAGTTTCTCTCTCTCCTCAAACCTCTGTTTACTCATGACTTTTCATGCTTCTATCACCTAATGGCTTCCAATTACTGATTTCTGCTTGCCCTGTTTTTTTTTTTTTAAGGTGAACAGTGTGCTACACTCACAGCATTTTTTTGTTGTTGTTTATTTTTTTTTAGTAATCTGTACACCCAACGTGCGGCTCAAACGCATGACCCTGAGATCAAGAGTGGCGTGCTCTCCCCACGGAGCCAGCCAGGCTCCCCTTGCCCTGCTTTTTGATTGTTTACATGTGTATCTCCCACTGAAACTCCCCAGGAAAGGGAATCTAATGGTTTAGTTCCCTGCTGTTCCATTAGAGCTCTCAGGCCAGGCCACCTCCATAGTTCCACCAGTCAGGATATATGTAAGCTGTTTTTCCGTCAGATGCCCAAACCCGACCCATTCCGCTCTGGTCTGAAAAGTGGTCACACAACACGAATGTGGCACCTACTTAAGGCATACCAGCCATCTTTCCAATACAACTGTAGTTTTGAACTATGTTTCAAATGATAAATAAAAAAGATATGGGGCACCTGGGTGGCTCAGTCGGTTAAGTGTCTGCCTTCGGCTCAGGTCATGATCCCGGGGTTCTGGGATCCAGCCCCGTGTCATGTTGAGCTCCCTGCTCCGCGGGGAGCCTGCTTCTTCCTCTCCCTCTGCCTACAGCTCCCCCTGCTTGTGCTATCTCTGTGTCAAATAAATAAAATCTTTAAAAAATAATAATAATAAAGATTTGACATATATATGAAAGCAGGGAGGAAAGGGATGAGTGAAAGCCAAAACAGACTGGTCAGGGGGTAGGGATTAGGACTGATTATGTTTCTCCACTTTGCAATTTTCTTTATTTTTTTTTTAAATTTTTTAAAAGATTTTATTTATTTATTTGAGAGAGAGAATGAGATGGAGAGCACATGAGGCGGGGGGAGGGTCAGGGGGAGAGGCAGACTCCCCGCCGCCGCGCGGAGCAGCCGGATGCGGGACTCGATCCCGGGACTCCAGGATCATGATCTGAGCCGAAGGCAGTCGCCCAACCAACTGAGCCACCCAGGTGGCCGCCACTTTGCAATTTTCATTTAATGATACTGTATTTGTTTTTTAGTTTTCAACTATTTTTTTTAGAGTAATCTCTCCCAAGCAATAGCAGTCATGCACCCACTACTAAGTTGTCTCTTTCGTGAACTTGACTTGGAACATAGAGCAAAGTTACAACCATTAAAGCCGGGTCACCCTTGCACAGAAAGTGAAGCAAGGTTGACTTTGTCAGGTGGAAGTGGAAGCCAGAGGTGAAGGTTGTGAAAGCACCCTGAGGGCAAAAGTTTTCAGAGGGCTATAATAGCATATGCCACACGGGCAAAACACAGGCTCTTATAGCTACGTTGGTTGTGGAAATATGTCCTTTGTCCACAGGCCAAATATTGGAAAACACCACGCACTCAATTGGCCGACAGCTCCAGGGCCAGAGAGAAGCTACCACGGCAGTTTTGTGAAACCAGCCACCCCTGGATTCATTTTTATCTTTCTCTGTTGACACAGCCTGGTTTCAGTTGCTCTGCCACAGACAAGCAATTACTAAGAATTATTATTGCTTGACAATAACTATAATTACTGGATGGAAAGGACAGCAGAAATCGAATTATCATATGGACTGATGCGGGAGCCGGTCAGCTGAACCCCGCCTCCCGTCCGTCCCCCGCGCTGACTCCGGGCGCAGGAGCCGCGCGGGGGGGATCCTCGCGGCTGGAGGCTTGAGCGGAGCACCCAAGGGCAGGAACGCGGTCCAGCGACTCGGGAACCGAGATGCAAAATCCTCCTGCGCTCCTAGAGAGAACCCGGAAGCGGAGCGCAGTCCCGGAAGGCGAGGTGCTGACACACTTCCGGCCTTTGTGACTCATTGTGTCTGTGTCGAGGCGTCGGGAGGGCCTAGGTCCGTGTGCAGCGCACTTCTGCCGGCCTGAGCCCCAGAGTCAGCTCCCTTTTCTCGCCCAGCGCCCCCAGGCCGCTCCCGGGGCTCACGGTGAGACTTGGGGCCGGCCTCTGGGGAGGGCGGGCCCCGCCGCCGGGTGTGTGCGTGAGGGTGGGCTCTGCAGCCGCGGCCCCGGGGTCCCCTCCAGGCGGCCCGGGCAGAGTGTGGACAGAGCCCAAGCCCCTGTTCGTCCCCAGGCCGGGCGGTTGGAAGCGCCGGCCCCCGGGTTCAGGCGGGGAGGGGGCGAGGGTCTAGTGGCCGGGGGTGCACGGAGACCTGGGGAGAAGCCGGGCCCCGCGCCCGCAGTGTCGTCATCGTCGTTTGACGTTTCTGAGATCCGGGTTCGCGAGCGAGCCGACCCCTGTCTGATTTGACTGCCTTCCTTTCGTCGCCATTTGCTTTGATTCCAGTGAGAGGGTTTTTGGTTTTTTTCGAGGTCCTTCAGGACCTCGAGGTGAAAAACGCGGAAGGCCGAGCAATGGACACATTTCGAGGTGCCGCTTACGTGTTTCCAAATCACCTGCTTCTCACCCCACCTCCCACCCCCAAGCGGTGATTAAAGAGTATTTGAAGCTTGGAGGGGATAAAGACTTGATTCGGATTTTATACATCCCACTCTCTAGTTCCGCCTTGCGGAATATTTTGAAAACCTTTAGGAATGATCTATCCGGAAGACTGGGTGGATTTTTTTTTTTTTTCCAGTTCTGGGTAATTAATCTGCTTGTCTTGGAGTGGGTGAAGAGTGAAGGGAGTTTGTGGAAATTGCACCAGCGCTTAGGAGACTTGATTGCTTGAGTGACCTTGGGTGATACAGGCCTCTTCTCCAGCTCTCAGTTTTCTCCTCTTTAAATAAAATGAACTCGATTTTCTCAAAAGGCCCTTCCAACTTTGAAATTATTTGATTTGGTCAGTGTAATTGAAGAATTCAGCTACAGTTTAGCCTGACACGGCGCCCCTCCCGTCCCTTTCCTGCAGTGCCTCCAGGGCACAATAAGATACTTTTCATTATAGAGTGTGGCTGTTACATGGCCTGGGACCAAAGAAAGCATTTATTGTACAGGCCAGTGCTAGGCGGATTGGAGGTGGTCAGTAAATACTTGGTGAATGGAATTGTGGAGAATTCATTGTAACCAGATCAACGAGGTACTGTTAGTATATGTGCTGGCCAAATGTGGAGAAATAGCTTACATTACATAGTGACCCATAATGATAATTTGCCCCAGAATGTATCTCCAAGTTTGTGTTGTCTCTGAATTACTGTGCAAGATGCCTCTTAGTTATTTCAGGCAGTTTTCATCGGTGTTAAAGTATAAACAGGGAAACTAGCTACTTAATAGACATAATCTTTTACTGATTCTCTACTTGATCTAAACATTTAATTTTTTTTTCTAACTTTGTATTGCATCTAAATACAGGTGAGTGGTTATGTTAAATTTTCCCTTTTCGTTCTCAGATAGTCTCAGTATTCTTTGTGTAGGTAGGTGTCTTTTAAAGGGAGGTTTTTCGTATTTAAAAAAAAAAAACTGGGGGCGCCTGGGTGGCTCAGTCGGTTAAGTGTCTGCCTTTGGCTCAGGTCATGATCCCAGGGTCCTTGTGTCAGGCTCCCTGCTCAGTGGGGCGCCTGCTTCTCCCTCTCGCTCTGCTGCTCCCCCTGCTTGTGCTTTCTCGCATTCTCTCTCTCAAATAAATCTTAAATTTTTTTTAAACCTCTGTTAAAAAATCGGGAGGGGTGGTGCAGTTTGTTTAAACTTTCAAGACTATGCCCTGGAAAAGGTACTGGCCTGTTTAGAAAATAGCCTTCGGAATAAACTGAGCTTGTAACTCCAAGCCCTTTTTGTAAGAAAACCGTTGATATTTATCCTCTGTGAGAACCAGTTGCTGGGGGTAATCTTATCTAAATCAGATAGGGTGTCAGAATGTTTTTCAGCACAGAGGACCCCAGAGGTAGTTTTCTGCTCCCCTCCCCCTTATCCTTAGATAAGGATACTAAGTGCCAGAGAGGTTAAATAACTCACTTGGGGATATGTAACTTATTTGTGGGAGACTAGAATGTAGGTATTCCAAGTTGTACTGCTCTCAGTATTACGGGAATTCTCCTGTTGCTTAGTCTTTTAAGCGGGCTGAAAATTGTAGAGCACAGTCTAATCTCTTACTGTTTATTTATTTTTTTTAAAGATTTTATTTATTTATTTGAGAGAGAGAGAATGAGAGATAGAGAGCACGAGAGGGAAGAGGGTCAGAGGGAGAAGCAGACTCCCCGCCGAGCAGGGAGCCTGATGTGGGACTCGATCCCAGGACTCCAGGATCATGACCTGGGCCGAAAGCAGTTGCTTAACCAACTGAGCCACCCAGGCTCCCTCTCTTACTGTTTATTGAAAAAAAATTAAAGCACCTCTCTAGTGCCTACTTAAATGCCGGACACTATTTTAAGTGCTTTATATACATTAATTCATGAAATCCTCAACTCTGGGAGGAAAATAACAATTTTTGTCCCCATTGCACAAATTCAGAGAGAGAAATTAATCTGCCTAAAATTATCGGCTGGTGAGTGGTGGTACAGCTTATTGAAACTCTTTCAGATAGCCCCTGGGGCTGATTTGAGGGCAGTATTGAGTGCTGTATGAGTGGGCACAAGAATAGTAACATGGTAAGTTCAATCAATTACTTCTTTTTTTTTAAAGATTATTTATTTATTTATTTATTTATTTGAAACAGAGAATGAGAGAGAGAGAGAGCGCACATGAGAGGGGGGAGGGTCAGAGGGAGAAGCCGACTCTCCGCCGAGCAGGGAGCCCGATGCAGGACTCGATCCAGGGACTCCTGGATCATGACCTGAGCCGAAGGCAGTCATTTAACCAACTGGGCCACCCAGGCGCCCTCAATCAATTACTTCTTAAAAACTAATGTTTGCAAGGAATCGTACTAAGTGGTCTAAGAGATACAAAGAAGCCTACCCTAGGGCTCCTGGCTGGCTCAGTTGGTGGAGCGGATGACTCTTGTTCTCAGGTTGGTAGGTTCGAGCCCCACTTTGGGCGTAGAGTAGAGCTTCCTTTAAAAAAAGAAAAAGGAAACAAGCATACCCTTAGCAGTGGTCCAGTGGAGGAGGAAGCTTTGAAAAATTACAGAGAGGGCGCCTGGGTGGCTCAGTTGGTTGGGCGGCTGCCTTCGGCTCAGGTCATGATCCTGGAGTCCTGGAATCCAGTCCGGCGGCAGGGAGCCCGCTTCTCCCTCTGACCCTCTCCCCTCTCATGCTCTCTATCTCATTCTCTCTCTCAAATAAATAAATAAAAAATCTTTAAAAAAAAAGAAAAAGAAAAATTACAGAGAAAGGTAAGAACTTCCATGGCAGATGCTTGGCAGAGAGCATTTGGCCAGAAGTTTTGTGAGAGGAGAAAAGATTGTTTGCTGAGATCATTTGAGAAACCTAAAGTAAAATCCAGCCCTTCCACTGCTGTTGTGACTCTTCTCTTTCTCAGGGTAGGAGCAGAAATGTTGAGGCATGGGGGAGAGGACCTGTCACAACTGGGGGAAGAGGGGAATGTGCCCGTGCCCTCATCTCTGTCCCTTTGGGTCTCACTTCCTCTTCAGTCTCTTCCTATTGAGTTCCATTGACTCGAGAAGTATCCCACTCTTTTTTTTTTTTTTTTTAAATCAAGCAAGCTCTGTGCCCATCGTGGGGCTTGAATTCACAACCCTGATATCAAGAGTTGCATGCTCCACCGACTGAGTCAGCCAGCTGCCCCAAAAAGTAACCCACTCTTTAAAACTCTGGCCTAGGTGGGACACAAATCAAGATTCCTTTCCTCGGGGCACCTGGGTGGCTCCGTCGTTAAGCGTCTGCCTTTGGCGCAGGCCCTGATCCCAGGGTCCTGGGATCAAGTCCCACATCGGGCTCCCTGCTCGGCGGGGAGCCTGCTTCTCCCTCTCCCACTCCCCCTGCTTGTGTTCTCTCTCTCGCTGTCTCTCTCTCTGTCAAATAAATAAAAATCTTAAAAAAGAAAAAAATTCCTTTCCTCTATCCTCCTTTGTATCGCCGAGACAGGATAAAATTTTCATAAAAATAGAGATCTCATGCTAGGCTAGTTTCCGCACCCGTCCTGCTCAGTTATCCTGTTGGATGGTTCCCCCCCCCCCGTTAGATTTGAGGTGATTCCTACTTGCATCTCCTGCTGTGTCTCTTTAGCCACACCACTCTCTGGTGAAAACTGCAGATGGCAGATGAGGCCCACGCCTGGGTGGTCATCCTCATAGGCCCCCCCTCTTAAAAAGAATCTGTGTGTACACAGAAGCTCTTCCTTACCCCACGTGTTGGGACGGAATGATGGTTAGAGCTTGAACTGAGGGGTCCCACAGATGGAATTTCAAATCCTGGCTCTACCATTTAATTGCTGGATGACCTTGGGTGTGTTATTTAACATCAGTAAACCTTAGTTTTGTCTGTGTAAAGTGCGATAGTAATTGTAGATACTACCTGCTAAGATTGTTATGTGAAAGACTTAATATCTAGCCCATGGAAAGTGCTCAGTGAACATCCGCTCTTACTGTTAGGCCTCTAGGAATGAATGTTCTTGAATTGAACAGCAGTGAGCGGTGAGTGGCATTTTAGCTAAGTGCTGAAGGATACGGAGGATTTGAAAAGGCAGAGAAGACTGAGAGGAAATCCCAGACTTTGTGATGTGAGTAAAGGAAGGTGATCAGAATCCAAGGCCTATTTAGTAGATACTCATTTTGTGGATGGAACAGGCTCACGCACGAGAGGAGCAGAAATCGATGATGGACAGTGAAGCGTGAGGGGAAACTGGGACTACGTACTGGAGGGTGGCTCTTGGAAGGCTATAGAGTTTTTGTAAGAATAATCAGAGTAAGGTAGGACATGAAGTAGCAGGGAGGGGAGTGAAGGCAGGGAAGCAAAGAGGGGAAGCCTGACCTGATGGAACTAGATCATTCACCCTGGTGCTTGGAGACTGAATCCATGTAAGGAGATGAATCCAGGAAGGTGAGATTCTGGGCTTTAGTGATTGAAGTATTAGTAGGATATCTGATCGCTAATTGCCACTAAAGGGAAATAAGAAGTGGCAGGGGGAGCAGTGATATTTTGAGTAGTTCTTATTTCTTCTGTTCAATTTAATGGACTTAAACTGCCAGGTCTTGTAACAGATAAGTACAAAGAAGACTCTCTGTCTTTGAGGGGCTTAGACTTTAGTTGGGGGGTGATAGGAACTGCAGTCCAAATAATAATATAAGGAGAATATACATGGCATAAATAGGAACAAAGCAAGATTGAGGGTGTTCAAAAGAGGAAGGTACCTTATTTAATTTGGAGAGTCAGAAGAGATTTTACATCTTGACAAGTAAGTAAAAATTTGACCAACAAAGTTGTAATGGTGGGAGATCGTGCACAGCAGAGACGTGAAGATGGAACATCACACCCTGTGCGTCAGGAACATTAATAGTCAGATAGGCTGAAATTTGGGGAGGAGGGTCACTACTCGGAGATAGGACTGGAAAAGTGGAGTAGGGTGTGTTCTTTGAACACGAAATTGGTAGATACCAAGGATTCACTGACACTAATTGAGGGGAAGGAGGGAATGACCAGAAGCATTCTTTGGCAATACTGCACTGACCTCAGTTTGTTGTTCGTTTCGACTGGGGAGAGATTGCAGCTGGGGAGACTGGAACCCTGTCACCAGTTTAAGCAGGAGATCTGGAGCCTGAATTAGGGTGGTGGAAAGTAATTGTGGGAGGCGTAGCAGGAAAAGGTAGTCTTTCTTTTGACTTTTCAGAATGAAATTAGAGAAACTAAGGTTCATAGGAATTATTTAGCCTCTAGTTGGGAAGAAGGGAGCCAAAGGAGTGATGTCGTGGACTGCCGACTCACCGCTGGTGGAGGAAGCGCTCCTAGGGAGGTCTTGGCTATTCTGATGCCCCAAGTTCCAGGGTGCCTCTTGCTAGAAGCTGCCTTGTTGATACATCAGTTACTTCTCTGGCTTCTCTAGCACTGGTATTGAAACCTCCGTAGAACAGTTGGCACATTCTGCTCTGTACTATAGTTATTTGTGTAAAAATGGGAATCAGGCTTCTCATCTTTGCTCCCCTCAGTCTAGGAGGACACTTTGCATATTGTAGATCTGGAGAGATGTTTAGGAAATTGAATGATTGTAGCTGGAAGGAATTGACTAAAGCTGCTCTGAAGTTGAAAAACACTGCAGCAAGGAGGGTAGGTGCAGAAGGGGTCTGAAGGAAATCAGCGGGAAGGGCTGGAGGATGGTTTGCACTGGGCTTTACCAGCTTAAAATCATTGAAAAAAATGACTGAATTCCCACATTCTCTCAGTTTATATAGAAAGTCTTTTTGGATGTAGTGTCTTTTCTTGTTCTCACAGTCTGCTACTTTAATAAAGGATTTTAATTTTTTTTAAGGACAAAAAAAGTAAGATAGAAAAACTAATCCTGTGATAAATGTCAGATTAAAATCATAGTCTTTGCCACTAAAACATTCATCTCCAGTGCTTGCTTCGGCAGCACATACACTAAGATTAGAATGATACAGAGAAGATTAGCATGGCCTCTGCACAGGGATGACATGCAAATTCATGAAGCGTTCCGCTCCAAACAAACCAAAAAACAGTCATCTCCAAACCTTTTTTTGGACACACATTCCTATCTGTAAAAATTGTTTATAAAAATTGTATACATGTATTATTTTCCCAGCATTTTGTATAATAAAAAATACATTAAATTGTGCTATTGAAAAATAATTTCTGTCCTTAAATGCATGTGATCCCTTTTCCACCCAAAATTACTAATAATCTTTTTAAATGAGAACCGTGTAATTAAAAATGCTTTGCTAGTTTAAAACTCATGACTTTAGGGGCACCTCTGTGGCTCCCTCTGTTAAGCATCTGCCTTCTGCTCAGGTCATGATCTCAGGGTCCTGGGTTGGAGCCCATGTCTGGCTCCCTGCTCGGTGAGGAGCCTGCTTCTCCCTCTCCCTCTCCCTCTGCCTCTCCCCCTAGCTCGTGCTCACTCTTCTCTCTCTCTCAAATAAACAAAATTAATTAATTAATTAATTTAAAAAGATAAATAGGCCTGGCAGTGAGAGGCCAGGCTGGACACTGATTTATGATATTAAAAAGCTCAACCCCTCAAAAAAATAAAAAAGATAAATAAAATTTCTGGCTTTGGATGGTACAGCAATTGGATGCTCCGTCTCTAAAGCTTGAATTTGGTGCTGTTGGATTGAAAAGATACCTCACAAAGATTTGTCAGTTCAGGTGGAAGAAACACATTGTCAGCTCGGCTTAGTAACTCATGATTGGTCTTGTCCACCATGCTAAATTTTGGTTGTTGAAATTCAGCTAGTACATTTCCATTTTCCATACCTTTAAATCACCTGTTCTTAAAAACTGATAATCAAAAGGTCAGGTGCCTGGGTGGCTCAGTCAGTAGGGCATGATCTTGCAGGTCGTGAGTTCAAGCCCCACGATGGGCATAGAGCCTACTTTAAAAAAAGCTAATCAAAAGGTGTTTTATGTTTTTAAAAAACAGATTTTTAAGATCCATAAAATTCTTCATTTGGAAGATTTTAACCAGTAGAAAATATTTACAAGTTTTTCAAATGTACAGAACCTGAAGTTTTTCTAGGATACTTAGTATCGTTTTTGGCAGTTAAAATTACAGAACAATGGAGACTATTTCCCAGCATACAACTGTTACCATAATAGTCTTTCCTTGCACTTTTTTTTCTAAAGTAGCTACTTTGTCACTTACTGGTTGACATAGTGTTTGATTTAGATTGACATTGGTTTTTATCTCCTAATCTGGGTAAGTAAAACCTTCTGTAGATAGAAGCTTTGTCTGTGCCAGTCGTTTCTTCACGTGTGTTTGTACCATTAGTATTTCTTCAAATTATAGTTTCTCTGCCAGAGTCTTTAAGCTGCTTGTCTTTTTTCTTTTCTTTTGAGCTATAATTGACATATAACAATATATTAGTTGCAGGTATACACCATAATGATATTTGGGCAAAATGATGACCACAGTAAATCTAGTTAACATCTGTCACCACAGTCACAATTCTTTTTTTGCTTTTTTTTAATTAAAGATTTTTATTTACTTATTTGAGAGGGAGGGAGAGAGAGAGAGAGCACAAGAGCAGGGAGGGTCAGAGGGAGAAGCAGACTCCCCGCCGAGCAGGGAGCCCGATGTGGTGGGGCTCGATCCCGGGACTCCGGAATCATGACCTGAGCCGAAGGCAGACGCTTAACCGACTGAGCCACCCAGGCGCCCAGAATGTTTTTGCTTGTGATGAGAATTTTTAAGATCACTTAGCGACTTTGAAATATGCAACACAGTATCATTAACTCTAGTCACCGCGTCGGACATGGTACTCCTGTGGCTTCTTTATCTTAGACCTGGGAATCTACCGTTTGACCCCCTTCATCCAGTTTGCCCGGCCCCCATACTTGTCTTTTTTATGAAGGCAGGATTCATTCAAGCTAGATAAAATAATCCATTATTCCACGTACTTGGTCTCAGATAAACTGGGAAATAGCACAATACCTAAAATTGCGCAAGTGAAATGAGGGTACTTTGGCAGCTCTGTGTGGGGGAGGGAGACTCCCACTTTTTCCTTGGGACACACTCGGTGACATGGGACAGTTCGGCATTGAACCAAGGGAGAGTGTTGATGTCAGTCGCGACACGCCATCTGTAAAGTGGCACTAGCAGGGGCGCCTGGGTGGCTCAGTCGTTAAGCGTCTGCCTTCAGCTCAGGTCAGGATCCCAGGGTCCTGGGATGGAGCTCCCTGCTCAGCAGGAAGCCTGCTTCTCCCTCTCCCACTCCCCCTGCTTGTGTTCCCTCTCTTGCTTTGTCTCCCTCTGTCAAATAAATAAATAAAACCTTAAAAAAAAAAAAGGCACTAGCAGTGTGCCTCTTTGCTAGGGCCGTTGTGGGAGGAAATGAGATGATGCGTGTACTGCTTGAAGCTTGGTGCCTGGCACCCTGCTGACACTCAGCTCTCGCTGGGCTGAGTG